AAATTTATTTAATTGATTGACTTTCGAAATTGCTCAGTTACTACTAGTTGAAAGGACAAATACGTGTCGGATGAAAATAATATTTAGCATTTAAATATGAAAATTTAACTTTTTTTGTAAAGAAAATAAATTTGTTGTTATGCTTTTAAGAAATTTCATTATATTTGTATTCTTTCTTCGCTGCATACTTCTTGCATTTATTGCTTGTATAAACTTAACTTGTGATTTCAATTCTAAAATCTATTTTGATTTCAGAGGTTGGAGCCGGTGAAGCTAGTTGTGGAGGATTTGCCGTATGCTGATAGTTGAGATTGTTAAATGACTATGATATATTTGAAATATAATGAGAATAATTTATTGTTAAAACATTCGGCCCATTTCTAATTACCATTTTTTTAGCATCAACTATTTATTAGTTGGAGGAAACTGATTCAGAAATTATTTTCACGTTTTTTCTTGGAAATTTAACTTTCATTAGTTTTTTGAACAAACTGCATGTTTTATGCTGAGTGGAACCAGCTTTTTTCCGGAGAAATCCTGCTCAAATACCGAAATCAGGATAGGAATCCGGGAATAGAACAGAAATCTTGTTACACTAAGCAGTAAAGCAACCCTCATTTCTCTCCTTTATATTCTTATCGCAATGAACGGAAAAAGAATGTGGCTTTGGTTTTTGCTTTTTTTGATCAGTTTTTTTTTTTTTTGTTCAAAGTATTCTGATTTCACTGTTCCATAAACTAACCCATCTGTGAATGTTGCGTTAATTATAACACGTACATACGTACATCGGCAATTCCTTCACTGCCAGTTCCACTACTATAATAGCTGGAATACTTTGACTTTAATTTGGAATTTTTCCATAATTTGTACTACTAATTCTATGTGTAACATAGCATGAAAATTGAATTTCGTATATATTCTGCTCCCAAAACTATCTTATCTCTTTCGTTCCTACTTGAACTTATGCAGTTTTATTCCGCCTCTTTGATATTAAATGTTTTTTGACTTATATATTTTGGTCATCTGGTCAGCTTTAGCTATATCCGCCGAATTTCATTGTTTGCCTACACAGCAGTGTTGATTCCTTTTTATTTTATTTTATTTTTCGTTCAACTTAAACAGCAGCTTTTTGAATATCTAAAAAAAAGAAAATTATGTTCTTTTCCGATTAAGATGTTTTGGAAATCAAACTCAGTAGATCTCGTTCAAGTTCAGATTGGGTTACAAAGATTACAGATTTAATTTGTTAAGAGTATTGCAGATTATTTTTAAGAAATATGAAAAATTTTATGCCGATTTAAATCGACACAAAATCTTAATTTTTGAGTACGTACATGAAATTATTTTAAAAAAATTTTAATTTCTGAGTATGTACATGAAATTATTAGAAAATGAAGCATTTCAGCCCATAATATTCATTTAAATTCATTTTTCTTAAGTGGCTTCCTTTATACGTGTAAATGAAACCTCGGTGCTTTATTTTGATTTCAATTTTATTGCACTTTTTTTGTCATTTTGTTACCGATTTATATTTAATAAATTACTTTTCTGATCGTCCATTTGTTTTACTGTTCCAAATTCTTATTAAAAATTAACTACAAGTTTCAAACTGTACTACAGTAAATTCAAAGGTAAAAAAATTTGTAGACTTTGAAACTTTCATGTAGTACTAAGGAAGGAAGAAGGGAATTGTTGGTAAGTAAATTAATAAAGAGTTAATCAGTCAAAAATCTCGAATTCGACTACAATATTCTCTTGTCACACTGACTCATTTCATATTTCCTTAAATTCTGATATCCTGGAAGTATCAAATAAATATGATTAGATGAGATGAGCAGAGTAAGTAATGCTTATATATTTTTCAACCAAAATTGTATCGCATTTTAAACATTGAGTAGATCATAAAATTTGCTTTACAAGCTACTAAAAGATATGAAAAGAAAAAAAAGAAGACACTCGCCAACTATCGAGCATCCCTGTTTGTGATGAATATTGAATTACCTTTCGTATAAACTATAAAAAGTCTTTTTTTTTGTAGTTTTGGGAACTACAAAAAAGACAATGAACGGCCGATAAATATTATACTATGGTATTTTCTCAGCAATTTTTTCCATGAATATCAACCGGAAATATTAGAGATATGAAGACATGACATTAGCATATCTTTTATTCTCAATTGATAACTTAGTGACAGCCAATCTCCTCCGTAATAAATGCTAAAATAATCTCAACTTATTCTTTTGGGAAAAAAACTTTCCCATACATAGAGAATTTGAGGGTATTATTATGACAAAAAAAGGAAATCAAAATAGTTTAGCAGAATTCACAAATACAACTTCGGGTAACATACCGCTCTTTCAACGACCGACTGGACTGCTCTGTGTGAATAAAACGTCCACGGTGATGTACTGAATAGCGAAGACATTGCGCAATCGTTTAGAAGTGTTAAGTTATATTTAGAGTATCTAATGTATCGTCTAGTAAAACTGACAGATTTTAAGATTTAGAAACAGTGAGAGATGTCCCATATCAGCATCCTATAATCTGCACAACTTCACCATCCTTTGTTCCTTCATCTAACCTAGACTTCATTGCTCCCAATAGTCAACCAAATAAATTAGTTACTTCCAAAAGCCTCGGACGAAAACGAAATTTGTTACTCTCTCAATCCTTTCTTATAAAGAAGGAACATTTTTTTATGAAGTCTTCCAGAATTCCATCCTCTTTGTCTCACGCAACTGTAATTTCTTTTTTTACAGCTTGAATCCTGATATGCATTATCAATAAGTTTGTTCAAGATCTTAGTTGAGGAAAGCGAAAACGACTAGTTTATTCAACTCAAAAACACCCAAATACTTAATATAAAACGAATTACAACGAAGAGAAGGAAAAATGAATTTGACATGCATTCTTTCCTCTAGAAATTAATAAAGGCAGCACAATTGTCCGTGAATGTCCCGGCTGAGCGATGGATGAAAGACACATACAGAAATACAGAAGTGACTGTAATTACCGGTTTTGATGCCACCGTGCTATATAATTTGATTCCTTATCTTTTTAAGCGTAAATGGATGTGTTAAACAATGCTGCTGGATTCGGAAACGGTGAGCTACCAACCTCACGACCAAAGCTTACTGAATTAAATTAGTTAACAAACAGAAAAGATTTTGTTCAGAGTTCTTCTATTCTGTTCAAAAATAGTTGTTTAAAAAGATGAAATAGCAGAAAATAAACTATTAAAATAGAATTAAAAAGAATATCTGCCAAGTCGCAGTGCAGATCTTACAGCATGGCGGCGAGCATTTAAGTGATGCTGCGGCGCACAAAACATAATCACAAAAAAAAGTGAGCTGTTATCATTTAAGGGAATAACAACAATGCAAAATAATGATTACATCCATAACTAATCGGCTGTTAGTGCTTTTATTGAAAACAATACCTGCCGCATCATAAAAACGGCTATCCCACCTGAAGTATAAATCGAAGACATCTGTGAAACCCGCATATGAATCTGTGATGTATTTTCTAAAAGATAATTGAAAAAAAAAAATGCGCAGAGACCATCACAGATGAAGAATTCTCATTCAACGACGTCCAGAACCAGTGGACTCAGGTGGTGTGATTGGATTAGATTCGATGAAGTAAGACTGTAGCGCACTGTTATTACCAGTTGTTGCCGCTGCGTTAAGTAGAGATGTCGCGGTTGGATAGGGTGCCGAAGAATGTGCTTGGTAATCACCTGCCATTGGGAACGATTGAAGCGTAGCATCGAATGATAACTGACTAAAAGATACGGTAATTGAGCAGGAACACTGTAGAATGTCTGTGACTACTACGATACCGCTGAATTCGGATAATGTAAATGCGTACTTCATCATCATGTTATAATCAATATTAGACGATTGCATGAATGCGTTAACGCCAGTCGGTGTGTTTATGTTCGTCCCTGGAGTGATCGGACTACCTGTTGGTGAAACGAAAATGGGTTGAGCGGCAATAGAACCATTAGGATGCCGTATTGGTGAGACGAGTGTCATTGGTGCAATCAGTCGTGGTGTTTCTACAACAAATTTATTATGCTTATACAAATTGCAGAGAAATTGAACAATTAATGATCAGGAGTAAAGCTCATGCAACTAGCATGCAAACTGTTGAAATCCACTTTTCATCCTTTCAAAATAAGCAACGAACGTAATGGGTATTTATTGACAGGTCGATATGTTCCATTGATAATTGCAAGTTCCATTAGTTGCTTTCGCTTCAATTCATCGGTTCCTTCTGGCTAAAATAATTAAAATCTCCAATTTTCACTTATCATCTCGATTTTCAATGTGAAAATTTAAAAAAATATTACAAATTTTCTCGAAAAGTTGAATAGTAAACCGATGGAATGAGTAATTTTTTGATTTGTTCGACAGCAGCCTTCAGTTTTGTATAAGCACGATTGGGTGTATCTTCACACTGAACCAAAACGTGCAGCTCGTCATCGAGATGTTCCCAATTTGGCTTACCGCGATTCATCTCTTCCTTAAACCGTAAATTTGAAAATAAACATGTCCTATTGCGAGGAAACTTCTCGGAACAACGGGATACAACGGATTTAACTTGATATATAACTTAAAAAATGATATTAGTTTGAAGTTGGTCCTATGTCGAAATAATCAAATTGTTTTTGTATTGTAGAAATATTTCGGGATAACTGAATTAAATTCATAAAATATAAATTTCTAATAATCTTAACTGCATATTTAGCAAGTTTCACAGTAGATATTGCTACTGTAGTGTTTTCCCAGTAAGCTTTCCAACCTATTTGTCATATAATATGGAACTGTTCACGTCAAGTTCTTCCCTAATTCCAAGAAAATCGACCAAAACCAATCAAAACACTGCAACGTACTTTCCGACGATCACGCATCGACCCACGTCCTCTAACCATGATTTTACAGCCCGTTTCTTGTTCCAGTTGTTTAGCAGTCATGCCACGAGGACCAAGTATTCGTCCAACAAAATTGTACTGAAATGAGAATTAATTGCCTTTCTTTTTTTCGTCCATATAATAACGATTATAGAACTGTCAAAGATTTAAACTTGTAGAAAAAAGTTTTTTATTCGATTCAAAAATAGTTTACGTCAGGATGCTCCTTGCGAGGAACATATACTTTCTCTTGAATGGTAACTGGCTCGCCCTCCGGTTCTGGTAAGTCCAGACGCTCGATGGAAAAATGACATTGAAAAAGTGCCATGCGAACGCGATTAATTTCTGAAAAGAGGAAAAAAAACTCAGCATACTGTGAATTGGTATAGATGCCTTTCTCCCAAAATTATAAAGTTCTGGAGATCCATCAAGAACCAGGAATGAAAAGGCGAGCGCTATTAGTTTATTGTACCGAAACTAGTTCTATGAATCTTTGTGAACATGCGCATAAAGAATATGTGCATTTTGTGTAACCGAATTAGCTCGTGAAAAATTTGGAGAATTGAAGTGAATTTGTGGTTCCGTCAAAAAAAAGACTTGGGTCAAATCTAAAATCTGATAAAAAACGGCTAAAAAAATATTCAAAAGAAAGAAAGGTTAGTTTACCTTCATCAACCAGACGTTCCATATGACGAAAAACTTGTGGAAAGACGGCAAGTTGTTTTTTCTCTTTCAAAAGATCAGCAAGGTACTCCATCGTGCATTCTGTACCAGTTACTTCCCCTTGTGCCGAGTTCCCAATTCCCGACCCCGTGTTTCCTCAAAGTTGCAACAGTACGCAAAGTTCACTCCAATTTGCAATGTAGACATTAAAATCTTTCAAAGAAAAAAGAAAGAAAGAAAGAGAGAAAAAAGCTCCATGAAACGACAAACCTTTGTCATTCCGAAGTGACAGTAGTTGTTTTTTAGGTGTTTTTGGCTGACCAAATGGTGTAAATGTCTAAAACACACAGAAATCTGGCATGATTTCTTACTGAAAACCGATCGTGCATTTTTATCAGAACGAAAAAAACAATATTTCGTTTTTCATGACGGTACCTCAAAATCCTTGAACATTTTGAGAAGTGGCTGACCGATCGGTGTACAGCGTTGTCCAATAGATGTTGCCGTGGGTGTTTCCATGGGCTCAAACGACGACTAAAGACTGCTTCGAGTTCAGAAATTGTAAAGTAGCGAGAAAATGACAGTGGTAAGAAGCTATAAATACACAAAGGTTATGATTTATTCAGAGATTAGGAATCTAATAATTTAATTTCTGTTTCAGATGTGGATCAACAAGTAGGAATAGAAGTTCGGGAAAAATTGTTAGAAAGTTTTGCAGGTATTTCGAGGCCAAGAGTTCCGCTTAAATACCTCACCGTATTTGGAAACCAAAGTTCCTTGTAATATGGGAAAGTTGGAGGGAGGCCTCATTTCCTCGTTACTTTAGAAAGAGACAAGGTCAAAGATATGAAGCAAATAAGTCAAGTTCACAGGAAGAATGAAATGAAATTGGGGTGAAGGAGATGTAAGTTTTAACTGACAGGGCTAGTTTGCTTGTTCCCACGATAACACTTCTTGTCAGGCTGTTCACTTGTTAGGGCCCCTATATTGTTACTATCGGCACCAAATCCCGAGAGCGCCGACGACCTAAAATTATGTTATTTGTGTGGCAGTTCTTTTTCTATCGCAACTACCTCGGGTATCCTAAAAATTTGATAATCAGTTTGCCTAAACGCAATCCTTTCCATCTCTTCACTTTCCTCTATTCCATCACTTTTTCTTCCCTGTGGAATCAATAATTTGGTTTCCCGAAGAAAATCGCAACTATCGAGATATTCTAAGACGTATCCCTTCGTTATCCATGTGATACCATGTTAGTTCTTTCCTTCTTCACGAACAATTTCACGTGTCCATATCAAGTACACAGCACACACACACCCACACGCACACACCCACACGCACACACACACACACACACACACACTCACGTAGTTCAGTATGCACGTAGTCACTCAAGCCACGTCAGTCAACCGCTAAGGTAGATAGATACTGAATTGAACGAATAGTAATAATCCATGCACACTTTTTGACTAACAATGCCCAACTCACCACCACTCTTTTCCCTCCAGCCTTCATTTTCTTCCCCCTTCTCTCGCATCCTCTGTCTCTGCCAGTAGATCATCAGGGTGGACCATGTCTCGTAATATGTAAATTTTACCGAGTGTTCTTGTTTTTACCCTCCTGGCCACTGCGATTTTTGGACAGTACTTATATTTGCATCTTTAAGGAGTATATATATGACCGTCGCAGGGAACGTATAAGCACTGAGTCTAGGACATAGATGAATAAGGAACGGGAACAAATCTACTGCATCAATGGTAAGTACCCAGGAAGTTCACGTGAAGCGCAGAATGTGTTACAACAGTGTAGAAAGTGTGGAAAGAATGTAGGATATGTTGTAGCGTCGGTAGGATATATTGTAATGTCATGGTTGTTTCCACTGGCAGCATACCGATCATCCGAAGAGACTGTAATCGCCTGTCACTTGAGTATTTGCCTTATCGATAACTTTTCCCCATAATAACCAGATCTCTTTTATCGGTTACCAGAAAAGGAAAGCCAGGTAGGCAATTCGTTGCGTTTTGTATCTGGTTAATACCCATTTTATTTGATGCTTACCAGTAGAAAGTAGAGGAAGGGTTTATGTTAGGTTTATGTCAAGGCATAAACGTCATGTAGCATTCTTCATCCCAGTCACATTACTCATGTATGATGTAGTATGGACATCGGGTAACTTCGTTGACAAGTCACTATTGGCGCCATGTCCAGGTGGTTACTGTTGAGATCAGTTGCTTCATTATGGAAATGAGACATCGCGTAGAATAGGGCAAGCGTATTTCAAAATAAGAAATATGTTATAAATTGAAGCGGTTTAAGTGTGTTGTAACCTTAAAAAGAAACATAAATGCATAAAAATTTGATGTTAGTCGCAGAGTTCTTTTTTATCAGGTTGACTTCACACCCACTGCTGATATCTCTTTATGTTGATACGATCTTTATAGGATCAGAGTTGGCTACTTTGGTTATAACAAATCATACCTGAATAGTACTATCTTGGAAAGGGTCTTCAAATGCAGTAGCCCTTCATCAAGCTAGACGAACATCCTTATAGCCTCAGCTTAAATTATTGGTATAAGCACTGTTTATCTATTTTCAAATAATTTAAATAAATAGAAGGATAAGAACTGCTCATCCATTCCAATAGCAGGCATCAAGTTGATGATGACATAAAAGTAGGATCAAATAAAGAAACCTTTATGACCAAATCGCTCATTAGTGCTTCAGGGAACAGTTCAATCCATTCAAAGCTTTATGCTCCATTATAACCGTACATTGATAGTTTTATATCAAAGATCAGGCAGTTAACTGCTGACAAGAATGGTAACTGAAGAAATGTTGTCACGGGAATTGTGGCTCGAGATGTGGGTTGTTACGAGAAATCGTACTGGACTGCACATGCATAAAGAGTAGGTTTTGTTGTTGTTGTTCAAGTTGATTTTTAGCTGAAGAAGAATTAAGACCAAGCAGTGAACTAGCTGGGGCCAATATTCCATCCATTCCACAACTGTAACCGCCATCCATTTCTACAAAATATTTGCTAATTATATAACAATAAAATACTCAAATGAGTGCAATTTGGAGTAGCTTGCAAGGATAATTAGATGATTATTTTTTTCATTTTTGAATTTGATCGTCGATTTATAGTCCCACCAAACATCAACTGATCCTCTCATGACATTGGCTTTATAAACCTCAAGTCATAGAGAGTTTGCTAGTCAGAGTAGGGAAAGAATGTGCTGGGCTTTTACAAAAAGAGCAGATATTTGCACTGATTTCTAAAGAGTTCAGTTTTAGTATAGCAAAAAATTTGCTTATTTAAAAATGCATGCGAATAATCGCACACTTATCCCTTCTTCCTTAAATTGTATTATTGTATCCCGTTTCCATTCAAAATTTAGTAACAATAAAAAGATTGTATGATACATAAAATAATCGCACAAACCACCATATCCAAGATCCAATTGCCTATCAGTATCCAGAGTGTCAGCATCTAGAGGCGTATCCAAATATCCTCCTGCTCCTAAAAGAATAATCACAAACGGGAAAATTGGAATGGATTTCTTTATAAAAGTTACTACAAATGAAAACAAAAGGAAGCTTGTGGAGGAACAAATCAGAAACAGTGAACATACGCAAACAGTTCATTGCAGATGTTCAACTAAACTTTAGCCATCAAATTTCTTACCGTAAACCGGACTTTCACAAATGCTATCGTTAGGTGATGCACTACCACTATCTAGGCTTTTGGTTATACCATATGTTCCCCATTGACGTCCAGCGTCTTTTTTTAGACGTTTTTCTTTCGCTCGGCGATTTTGAAACCAAACCTAGAAAATGATGTGTTTATCTGTAAAGAAATTTGTTATGAGTTTTTTATTATACTACAGCAAAACAATAAAAAATATAAGGTAGAAGATAAGAGAAAGAAATTGTGAAACTTCATTTGGCTTTTATTCCTGATTTCCTATCAGTCAACGAAAAATTACGCAGGGATTATGCAAAGTTTCAAGAACCTATGAATTTTGTGGATTTAGTTTTATTGAATATAGCGACTCATTCTTCTTGCATAAAAGGAGTCAACTAAAATATGAGCCTAATAAAAAGTTAAACACGTGAATCCTACGTGTGATATGTTCGGAATCGATCTATGATTCGTAATACACAGCCCAGTAAGACTGTAACTGCTATTCAGCGCTTAAATCAAGTCATAATTTAAAATGTGTAGTTTATAGCTTGGCAAAGTGCTAATAAGTAGTGGGAATAGCACGGTTAAAGCCTAAATGATACTTTAAAAATGACCTGAACAACTCTCATGTCAAGACCAGTGTCAGCAGCCAGCTGTTCTCGAATATGCCTTGCTGGTTTCGAACTTGCTTGATAAGCTTGTTTCAATATTTCCAAACTTTTGGCTGATATCGTAGTTCTCGGCCGTTTTGTATTTGAGTCAATATCTGTTTCTGAAAAGAGTTTCATCGAGTAAAAGACAAATTTCACCTCATTATTGCTGCGAGCTAACTTAATAAGTCCTACAGATAGTTTCTATGGAAGTGGAGAAATCAAAGAATCATTTCCCTTCCACTGAAATTCATTTTAGTCAGTCAAAACTATGTCTGAAAACTTTTCCAGATTTAAAGGATTAAAGAAAATAACCTTTGGTTTTAGCCATTTCATAATCAGATTTGCAAACCAAACGTCCGTCAGTTGGTATCAAATAAAACTCTTCACCAGTTCGAAGCTCGCGTTTGCAGATGATACATTGAAAACAGGAAACGTGATAAACATGCTCATTAGCCCTCCTCACTACCATATCCGGACAGATTCCTTCATCACACATTGAACACTTGGTACCAAATCGTCTGGAACTGCAGTAAATTATTTTTACGGAAAAAATGAAGTGTGATTTATGTCCAAATCTATAATAGAAATTTTTTGATATTTAATCTGTTCTAAATGAGGGAACGAGTTACAGACACGTATTTTTGTAGTGACTACATTTCAATTCAACCGAAGCTATTTATAGCAAAAATATCATGAAGACCATCAGGTAAGTCGTCAATATTTGGACATGTCACACCTGTCGAAAAAGATGCACCATGTCACACCACTTAACGTTGGACATTAAATGCACTCAGTAATCAAACTACCTTTATCTTAATCCTTTGATATCCTTAGCTTGCTCCAAGTTTCTAACTCCACAATGAAAGGATAGATCGATTCATATTTCGGAGTAAATTTGTAAATAATATACTTGTAAAAATGATCCTTGCAATACGGTTGACCACCTTTCAAATAACATTTTGATGAGAGAAGCTGTTCACAATGGACACACCGTAAGCACTGAGGGTGGAATGAACGATCGAGCACTTTGAGGACGAATCGATCACGAATGGGCTCTTCACATTTACCGCATAGATACACTGTCCCACTCCTGTTACTGGTGTTCTGTGCAATGGCGGTTCCTTAATTAACTTTATTAATCAAATTCTTTAAGCATTTGTCCACCTATAACTCACAAGACTAGATTACATCATTAAAATAAATATGGCAATGTATCATGTGACATACAAAGCTCAGAGACAGCTTCCACCATATTTTGCAACCTGACTTATTGCAGCAAATTCCAAATTGCACTCAGTAGCGAAGCAACACTTCACTAAGAGAATTATAGTATCATTTACCAGTTTATATGTATATGTGCGATGACTGAATATCAAAATATGTCTTTTTGTTGTGTAAATAAGCCATATAATCTCAGATCATCAATGGCTTGCATATTTCCCATTGTGTGAGAAGATCCAATACGAATATATTGGTGATTTCTTTAAGAAAGAAGAAAAGTGAAATACTTCTTGAGTGTTAAAAATCAAATTTTCTATCTGTAAATTTATCAAGTTAAGAAGAGAAACTGTTGACAAGTCATAAGGCGATGAAAATTGGAGACGTTCATTAGATAAAATGTAAATTAAAATAAATGCAATTGAATTATTTAGTATAAATCAGAAACGATGAGAATTAAAAAATCCGAGGGAAATTTCGGTTGGATGATAAGTAACGATGATTTTCAACTCGGTGATTAAGAAATGTGGTAAATGAAGAAATGGAGATCATGCAGAATAGATGGATACTCCTGTCGCATTCCATTCATCGGAGATGGATGAAATGAGAGTGATTATGAAATTGTGACAGAAATGCATTTGCTTGTCGAAGAATGGCAGATGGAAATATCACTTTGATGCACGGAATATATTCAATTATTTATAATATTTCAATGCATATTATTTAGTTTCTGCCATTGCAGTTTGCTTATTTGACAAATATTAGGTTTATTTTTATTAGAGGTGAGAAGTTTGATCAGAAAACCCAAAAAGCGGTCCAGACCGGATTTTTGAGATTTACAGTTTCTAGAGAATTTCAGTCTCTCTATATCTTTTATCTTTCAAAATTCTGAAAAGATAATATTAACTTTATTTTCCAAGCCAAATGAAAGTTATATTTCGATGGAAAAGATGATATTTCGAAGTTAATTCGTTTTTTAAGTTTTTCAAGTTAACAGATATAACAAGCCACTAGAAAGTGGCTTTTTTTATTCATATTTTAAGATCGATGTATCACTTTTAAAACCTTCTTGACGCAGTTGTTGAACACCGATATTCAGGAGTCATTTTTCAAACCTAATTTTCGAACTCAGTAAAACTGAAATTCGGAGTGCTCCAGAACATATTTAGAGTTTTCACCTTTTTATCCACTTAACAGAAAATTTCAATCAGTTGGACAAATTTTTGAATTCAAAGAAGAAATCTTCCGTCAGATATCCAGTTAAAACGTCTTCTCATTAGTTGGGTCTCTAATGGCTCTTCATCCGGCAGCATTAAAATTAACACTGAAAAGATGGACTATAAAAAGATTACGGTATAATTGCTGAACGTATAAGGTGAGGACTAATCCCTGCCGACTGCTTTTAACATCCTCATAAATTACGACGGTTCTATCTGACTCAGATATTGCTTCTTCAAATCACATGGGAGTTTCAGCGTTTTCTTCTTTCTCCCTTACCAATAGAAAAATGAAAAATTTCCATGGATGATGCATTTATACGATCTAACATTAAAATTGAATTTCCTGTCATCAAATTTCTCTTCCGTAGTTGTCAACTCATTCAGCTGATCGGGAATTAATTGTTTTTCGAAGTGATTGGTTTCCTTGTAATAATGTAATAATGGTGATGTTCCGTCAGAATGACAGAAGATCGGTGTATGTTATGTTGTGATTGTTAAGTCTTCGAAATAAATCTTGTTGGTATTTACATTAGCACTTCAATGTACTAACCGTGTCAAATAGTTTACTTTTTGTGAGTGACTTTTGAACTTTTTTAACTTTTGACTTTTCACTATGACTTTTGAAATATTTATTTGTCCGATGCATTTTCCTTTAATTGTTTTAGTTCGGGCAAAAAAAAAATCATTGAATTTGGATAAAGAAAATTAAGCAAAAGTACTTGTTTAAGGAAAAGAAGTGAATGTAATTTACCTGTTGTACTTATTTATTTCCAATCAGATATCTATAATTTTTCTTTAATTCAGATATCTTCTTTAATTTATGTCATTGCTAATTGATACCCTTTTCGATAGCTTTATTCACGATTTCCGGTATATTTTTCTACAAACTATTGGCAAATAATTTAATTGCAAATGTTCTGGAGAGAAAAGTGATTACTTGAAACTTTAGAAAGTCAATTTCTAAACAGGGTAAATGCAATCATACAAGCTTTCAAATTTAGAAGCAAATACTTGGCGAAAACAATAATTGATTGCTGATTATAAATAGTTTTCCTAAAACCAAAAAAGTTCAAAATAACCTTGTCCTAAGGAGTATTTTAGTTAGCAAAGTGTGACTGTTTAAAAAGTGTTGTGAAATTTTTTAATCAAATTGACATCAACAATTTCTTTTTCAATATTGAATTCCCACATTAGCATCTTGATAATTATTATTGTCATACATCAAATTTTTGCAATTACAAATATCTGTCGCATCTAAAATACTTGCATTTTACAAAATTTTTGGCAATAAAGGATAAAGCTTAAAAAATTTCCTCGATTTTCCATATCTGATAAAGTTTGAAATAACAATTTGTGATTAGCAAATGAAATAGGAATTGTTTTAGTGTATTTAGGCCTTTTGATGTTAACATTATGTAGCGTAATCTGAATCTCTTCTCTATTATAATAACACAATCATTAGTCTGAGCACTTACTTAAAAACTTTGTTTTTTATTGCCAAAATTAATAATGCCATTTCACTGTTCGCAGTTTTAACAGTAAAATCATATGGCAACGCAGTTTCTTCAAAAAATAAAACTAAAATAAACTTCTTTCTAAAAAGTCTTTAACAAAGACTGATTATGATAAAGCCACCTAAAAACTGGAAATTACAATTAAGCGGTAGACTCTTGATTTCTAATAGTACGATACAAATATCAAGAAAGTAACATTTTCTTGATACTGATTACTTTATCGATCATTTTATTTTTCCGAATAAGATTATTACGGCTTATCATCATAAAACAAGATTTGGCATGGGCTACAGTAAAGTTGTGATAATCAAGATGATAAAGCAATAATTCATTTGAGTTAAATGAAGTTCGTTTGACATTAATATGAAGACAGAGTCAGACTGTTTTGCGAAAATTGAATAGAGAATTTTGCCGCAATTTCCGCTTGACAAAATTTTAAAATTATAATTTGGAAAAAGAAATTTTTAATTTTCAACTCAAAAATGACACAGACGCCTTTGCTTAGAAATGAATTTTCCTTCATGCTTACTTTTATTACTGCGCTAGAATGTCAAATAAAAAGCCAAATAGTCAGAGGAAGAGAAGAGGAGGAACTCATTCAATTGTTTTCATAATTGATGCGATCGGATGGAAGGATAGGCCAATATGGGCAGAATAATGTGCTACCATGCCACCATCGCTTAATAGTTGACAGATATGCTTCCCTACTATTATCATTGTTTATTCTTCCCTTAATTGACAATGCACCTTGATAACTTATTAACCTGTGTAAATTGCATTCCTAATGTGTGTATTGTACAAATGGTACCTATCCAAGGATAGAAAGAAAGTGATTGAGAATAAATGAAAATATGCTGCTTGCAATTGCAAACTTGAACCACAAGTTTTCTACAACCCATCCTTACGAAATTTCTACAAGGTAAAGAGTTTCCCTAAATCTTCCCCATCAGAAACAGAAATCCATTCACACAACAGTGAGTCTGTTTATGTCATTAATAATTGGAAGTATTAATTTCGATAATTTATTTAGTAATCGAAAACACTCGCAATACCTATACGGTTTTGTTTACATGGAGAGATGAAAGGGCAAGGAAGTGAAAAGTGAGTCCGGAAAACTCTTACATCTATATGGGAACACAAAAGATGAACTTCTTTTCTTCTACTACAGAAATTTTGTAGATTCAATAAAATTTATGGCTTATGAAAAGTATGGTGCTAGACATGTTCAATATGTATATGCAAAGATAGAAGAGGATTTGGTGCTGACTTAAGCCGCATGATTTGCGAGGGTTTCATCTGTATAGTGTAGAGATTACGAAGTCGGAGATTAGCTGGAAGCAGAAACCCTATTGATGCAAAGAAAGCACACAGATAATCATTTTTCTTGACCATTATTGTTGCCGAGGAAACGAACATAGCTTGTTGAGGTCATCTTGGAGAAATGAAGTTGTTCTTTCAGGAAAGTCTCGAAAAAATGAAAGTACTACAGAGATACGCCTGCATATGAGAAATTCCGTTAATGATGTTCGTCATCGTTTGGTTTCTTGACCTCAATCACTCAACAAAACCCCAAAACCCTTGACACCCTTGACCTCGTTGATTGTAAATGCCGCAGTAACATTTCTCTCAAAAACAAAATGAATAAAGTATTACTTTGAAGAACTTTTAGACTTCTAAAAAGGAAAATATATATATGCATAGAGGAGGTCCACCGTAGTAGACCTTAACTTCTCTGCTACCATACGTCAAAGTGCATGCTCTGCTCACATCAGTAGGTGGTCTACCCTATGAGATGACAATTATGAATTATTCTTGCATTTCAGGAAGTTGTGCTAAGCTTTGACAGTTACAGTATCATCTGATGTTGATGATGAGTGGAGAAGGAGAGATGTGTCACTGTTATCAGTATTCATTATTGTAAATGAGCAAAAAGGAAAAATGAAAACGTACCTAGTTGCTGATGATTAGGCAACGGACAGATATCCGGCATGGTTGCTGTGAACCCAGACATTAGGGTAGAAAGCCTGCTTCTGGTTCAGACTGAATCCGGAAGTATCACATTCGATATCTGCCCAAGTATTATTCGCCAACGAAATCTGTGTGTTGCATGAAAGCTATGACTGCTGCCGTTAATGATAGACGGATGACGATGCTGCTGCCTTTGCGGTGGGAGCTAATGCTCAAGAAGCAAGCGAGGGCGGAGCTCTTTCTTGCAAGCCTAGCCTTTTGATCGCCTACTTGGCCTCAATCTGTATATCACTTGCAAGACTCATACAGACAACAGCACTGATGAGATCTTCATTACATGAACACCATTGTCCCAATCTAAAGTACTCAAATTCATGAAGTTCTGATATCAAATTGAAAGCCATAATGGTCGGATACGGATTAATTCGGTTGGCTTATTTCTGTTTCCGGATGACGTAAATGAATACGATAAAGCAGGAATATTATGTGAAGGGAACAGCTGCACTACAACTACAGCCACAATTGGAACTTTAACTGCAGCAGCATCTCTAACGATTGGGATGGATAGATTAGAGAAATGGCGAGTATATGCAAGTGCAAACCACCGTAATGTTAGAAGTCATCGGTTGGTTTCACCTTCACTTTAGTGTCGCATATTTCCCGGATTTCCCAATCATTTCAACAAATTTTATTCAAAATCTCATTAAAATTTTGTTGCATTTTTCACGAAGTAAGCTTACAAGTATGGTATATGATAATCCCTCGTTCATTTGATTGGCTTCAAAATGAGGTTCTATCATTGTCATTTTTACCATAACAGCACATTATCTTAGTTATTTATTTATTTTTAATTTCTTGTTGTTAAAATATCACTTTCT